ATACTGGGAGATGCTTAATTGAGAAATTAAGAACTATTTTGTGAATACTTTGCTGGATAAAGCAACTAATTGCCTGCTCTTGCAAGAGAACACCCTGCAAAAGGTTTTTTTTCAACTGAAGAGCCTCATGCTTTACTAACATCCTAGTAAAGTGAGGATGAAAAAAAAAGGTATTGCTATTGTCTAGGTTTCAGTATTTTGTTGCTGAACAGAACACCACAGTAAATCATGTCCAGATGCATTACATGTCCACTGACAGCTGGATGAGGGGATATTTAAGTGTTAACCTATTTCAAAAGGCCACTAGGTACCTGGTTGAGGAAATATTTAAATGTCCACCTGCCTCACAAACTCACTTCACCTTATATGCAGGATATTGCTGGATGTTCACCTGCTCCACAAGGTATCTAAGCGTTGTTGTCCTATTACACATATCTACTTTAAATGTCGAACATTAATTGAATCATTATTATTATAGAAGCTATTTTAGACTACTTTTGAAATGTTAAATTTTACAAAACAGTTTCCTGCTGACTCTTTCCAACTGAGTAACTTGTATTTATAAAGTATTGAATACAAGTCATTGTGCAAAGAATGCTCTGTCTTGTACAGTAAACACGGGAACTGTAGCTCCAAAGACCACTATTGTAATTTAAAATACTTGTGTTAAAAGGGTGAGTATTTAGTATGAATCTATAACATTTTTTTTTTAAATTTATGTTAAAAAATATATAAATGTTTCAACTGTTAATTATTCACAATATTGCAGCTTCAGGAAGGAATTAAAGATTCTGAGCCAACTGTATAAATTACCCTTGACTTGCTTACCTTGGGTTTGTAAGAAATAAACAGTATTTCCTTCCAAATATAACAGCCTGAATTTGCGCTTTTTTACAGGTTGAATAACTCATGAATGAAAATGTTGTTAATGACAGTGGGCTAGAATTGTATGACCAGTATGAAGCTGGACCTTAAGGTAGAACACAGCGTTGATATCAAGAGGAAGAAACCTTGGCCTACGATTAAATGGCTCGGCGAAAAGGTACTATCATTATTATCTAGTATAACTTTTGTGGTTATTTGTTGGATACTTGCCTTCAAATCTCAGGGTCATGGGTTTTATAACTCAATTCTCAGTGGGAATATCGTGCAGATATTTGGGGCCTCATGACCTTGGAGCGTGTCGGGGGGAGGGGCCCTAATTACCATGAAGAATGGTACAAAAGGGAACCCTGTGTGATTTTAAAGTTTGTATCAGGCCCCATATATACTTTGAATAGGGACCATGACCATTTACTGCTGTAGCCTAATATACATTTTGCTAATTAATTTTTGAAATTTGTTTTGGTTGGGGCTCTGATACTCAGCACTCTGCCCCCATCCTCCTCTGAGCATAATGCTCCTATCCTTTTGCCAAACCTGAATCTTAATTTTCTTGCTGGCAAAATATCTGAGAATACTACCAAGTCTCATAATACTGCATAGTTTAAATTTTAAAATAGTTAAATTTTTCAAATCTACAGAGACTGCTGTCTGCTGAGTAAACACAAGTTCAAAAGTATATTGAGAAAAAAATCATGATCATTAGATCCACAAATTAAAAGTTCAACCTTGAGTGTAATCTGTTTGGTAATTGTTTTGATTAAGCTTGAAACTGCAACATTGAAAATGTTATCAGTGAACCATTGACATTTTTGATACTGAAATTTAAATTCTTATTCATGGTGTATCCTTAACAAGAAACATGTTGAATGCCACCATATAAGTACAGTAGGTATTGTCAGGGCTTCTTCACAGTCTTAATCACAACAATTATGAGACATTTTCACTCAAAAGAACAAAGCTCAAACTTTAAAATGAAATTACGATTCCATATTCACAATTCAATTGACTTATTTTAACAATATATTGTGATGGTGGTCGATCCAGCCAGAGCTGATGAATCAGAACCCCAGTACATACAATAAAAGACAAAAGAATAAAAATTAAACTAGATTTTTAACATAGACAAATTAATTACATAAAAAACAGAAAAATGAAAAAAATCAAAAGAAAAAAAATTAAATCAAAAAATAATTGTCATTAAACAATTAATTATAAAATAAGAGAATTATGTATTATTAAATGTTTACAAATTAATTAGATAAGAAAAATATGTATATTCAAGCCTCAAAATCTTTTATCAAAATTGCAAATTACAGTAGCCAAGACATGAAAAGTGAAGCTGTGACCCTTTTGTCCCTTCCCCTTGTTTCTTCCTCTGGTGATGAGTCCTCATATTACTAGCCTGTGGTATACATGTGTTGCAACTTCAGGAAACAGACTACATGACCACTTCTTAGAGTGAAAGTTACTTGCCTTAGTTTTTACAGGAAGTTGTTTATCTCTATCTTTTAATTGATCACTACAGAAATCTGTCTTTTCCTGTCCCATTCTACAAGATGACCATGTAATTTGTTTATGCAATTCCAATTTCATTAATTATTATTGTCTTTTATGAACTCTTCCAAGAAAACCAGGAAAATTGAGAAATTGAAATACATGAAAAACCACCTTGATTTATTTCTTGATTTTTACAAATTTGGAATTTTTAATGTATTTTCTTTTGACACAAAGTTTCCAATAGTTTTTTTTTTTTTTTTGGTTTTTAATTTATAGCAAATATAATTACAAGTTTGTGATAAACAGTTCAGATTTGGACATAACACTGCCGATTTGACTTCATTTGTCTTCATCTTTACGCAATTGTTTATAAGATCTTGACGTTGGTGCCTACCATGCAGCACATCAATGGAAAGTTTATATAATCAAATAAATGACCTTAGGTCAAACATGCATAAGAAAACCAATTAAAAAAGGCCGCTTGTTTGAAATAAAAATATCTTTTTGCCACTCTGCGCCGCAATAGTCTTTTGTGTATATTGAATAAATACATAAATCGGTTTGATGAGGCTATTGGCATTTTAGTGTGGTTTGTATGATGCTTTTTTTCCCATTTCCAATTATCGTTATTTTATTTTCTCACTACTTAAATATTTGCAGTTTCTTAGTAGCGGTGAACCGTTGCTTTGTCTGTTAGAGTTCATAGGACCCAACCTTGCAGACACCATGGAATCTCAAAAAAAAAAAAAAAAAAAAAATTCTGTTTAAATACCATTTAAATAAACCGTACCCATTAATACAGCACTGCCCTTCCTATGCCAACTCTCTTAATTTGATTGGCTTTTGGGTGAGAATGAAGATATGTCAAGAGAAAATGAAGTGCTGATGGTTAATTTATAGTGTTTTACATTATTATAGTTTGTAATGAGTGTCCCAAGTCACCCAAATGTCTTTTTGTATCTGATGATTATTATTATACTTTTAAATTCACCTAAAATTATCTATTACAAACCAAACAAAATTATTTTAACATTTTATAAAGATTTACCATTAAAGGCTGCTATTTTTTATTCCTTTTGGACAAGTTGTAGATGTATACAGTAGTGTAATTTGATATATTAGCTATAGTATAGTTTTTAAATTGCTTTGCCTGGATTCTATGTAAACTATTTGAAATGTATTACAGCGAGTTCTTTTGAGGAATTATGTTGCACAACTGGTGCTTTTGGTTTCATGTTTTGTTTCCATTGTTCTAATAGTAGCTATTCATGTCAATACAAATTGATGACCTCAAGAGGTTTGCAACATATTGCATGATATAAGAATAGGCTCCCAGTGGAAGCGTGCATCTACTGCCGTACTGTACATTACTGTATCTCAATTGTGAGTGGATTATTGGATTGGATTAAAAATCGTAACGGTACTGGGTTTGGTCTACCTTCTACATTCCATTTCTACGTCTACATTCCATTCATAGAAAAAGCCTTTTGATGGAGAAAGTATACTTTTTAGCAAGGTTTGCCAAGTTCGAAATTAACTCTGGCTATATAAAGTTGATTAGAAGATTGATAATGTTATTCTTGTTAATGAATAGATAGGGATTACTACTATGTCCATTTTTATTGATCTTTAGAATCTACTTAAATTAACGAAAATATGGAAGAAGCATAGGAAGAAAGAAGAAAAGCAAAGAAATTTAGAGAGGCTGAATAATAGTTTTGTCATGATTACATCACGTTTCTGTGAAAAATTTGTTGGCATTAATCGTCTGAGGTCAAGGTGCAATTTTGTTGAGTTTCGAACTCATTCGTTTTCCAATAGGGCACCCTCTACCTTGTGGTAGTAGTACCCATCATGTACCTCCACCGGATTTACTAGCTCATATGGGTTAACTTCCAGACGATAAAATAGTGTCTATACCATACAATTGATGTGCATTAATGAGGAAATAGAACGATTGGTTTTCTGTAGCCAGTGGCTCTCTGTGCAGTAGGCCTTACAATTAATTTCAATGTGATTTTCCTGTATATAGATAGGTAGACTGGTACTGGTACGAGCATTTATATTGCACCCTTTCCTTTCGGTTATAAAGCTCACGCCATTCTCCAAGCTGAGAGAAAAACTCAAGGCAGAATGTAATACAGGTCCATTAAACAGAAATCACAAGCGCCACAATTGTATTGTCAAAACAATTAACAAAAATAAAACACACAACAAACACAACATTTAAAAAAAATAATAATAATAATATTAATAGAAAAAAAAAAGAAATCTTTCTTTTTCTGGATACCTGATCAATGTGGACATTGTTCTTTCTTGGGATGATAACAAACACTTAATGCAGCCAGGCTGTATAAACTTTAGTTGCCTAGGTAATATACCTCATCAATCAACAGCACATGTAACTTCAAAGGTGTACTCATCTCAAACAATTTACATGAAGAAAAAAAATAACTTCTACATAGAAAAATTCCAAGCCTACATTAATAGGAGATGAACACAATGTGGTATGATCACCTAATGTCAACCAGCAATAATTTATCATAAAGTAAGCTGAGTGTTCTGTCTAGACTCTTATAATAACAAATGATTTTAACTACTTATTGCATTGCAGGGGCATTTCTAGTTGGTCTTCAAAAAAAAGGCAACCTCTTCCTCTGGCACAAGGACAATGACGTCTTGCGCCACATTGCCGGTGTTCCTGACGTCCTGTCCAGTACACTGGTCACTGCTGCAGACAAAGAGGATAAAGGTATTGTAAAGGTTAATCAAGACAAACAAAAAGTCAATATTATTATCATCATCATCTACCATTAATATATAAACCTCCATCAGTGCATTATAAATTCCTGTGCAGATACATAGCAGATTCACTCCTTGGTTATCAATGTTTTTTTCCAAAATTAACAAGTTTTATTGGAGGGTGGTCTATCTAACATATCTGATCATTTGAGTGTACTATACAGTTAATGTACAATGAAATAAAAGTGTACCAGTGTTTTATAATAGATAGCTTACCTTATTAACACAGTTCCGAACTATTCAATCTGAACTTACTATTTGCAGGTTTAATAATTCCTAACATCTAGTGTAATAACTAGTCCTTTAATCCTTTTTATTATTGTGGCTTCCTGTGTGGCTCTACATCCGTCCATTAATTAATCCTTTATAAACAGTGCAGTAAGATTCATTTTTCATTCATTTTGTATTTTATTTTCATTTGATATTCTTACATTTTCTGCTAAAAATATATTCATAGCTATAATTGGTCATGTGATACAATACTACGGTGACCCTTTGTTGTGGGTCAGTCCTGCTCTTCTTAAATCCTCCTCCTTTTCCTGTTCTCTATTCTACTTGACCTTCAATAGATTATATTAAGTTTCTAATTAAGTTCACTTTCATAGTAAACCACCAATTTCTTCATCTAATAAAAATCACCTCGGATAATACTGTAATTCCATAACCCATATTTTCAAGAAATAGTAAGAATGGGATTATATGAACTTGCAGAAAAATGCTTGCGATTTAGATTATTAAGAATTAAGTTAAGGATCATTTGTTAACAAAGTGTTTACTTTGATTTCAATTCAGCTTTATGTCAATCCACGTTTGTTGAGGTATTCATAATAAATAGAACAAGAAACTTTGATGGTGGTTTGTACCTAGGTGAACGTGTACTGCAAGCAGTACAGAGACCTGTCTATACCTAGTATCCGTGGCCCATTAAATTCAACATGCCTTCGGGGTTCAGCTAATTTTTTTCTACTCGTGTGATACTGATTCTTAAATTTTCTGTCATATGATAAAAGATTACAATAATATAGATAATTATAACGTGACAGGTTACATCAAATCCCTGAATCACCTTAAAAGTTTTAAATTCTTGATGCCTGTCAAAGCTTGTCTAAATTGTATTCATTGATTGATCTATTTTTTTGTTGTCCCAGTAATTTCAATTAAATGCTGCATCAATCAATTGAATTAAATTCATTGGATGTACACCTAGAACATAGGCACATGCCATTATGCTAGTGCATTCTTACAAAATAAAACAAGTTCATAGTCCTATTTTCCTCAATAGACACCTTAACAAGTACAATATTAATAAAACAAGATACAAACATTGTAATATAGTTTAGAGCTCATCCCTTAGTTGATGAAAATGTTTTAAAAATGTAGTATTTGTACTGTAATGTTAATGATAATTTATCATTAAAATTACTTGAAATTGCATATGTAAAATACTCTGAGAGTCTCAGCCTGGATGTTTCACAGTTAACGGTGTTCAGATAACGGTGTTCAGATAAGCATATAATAGAACTTCCTGCCTTTATCCTACAGTGGTTTATTTTTTTATAATCTTACACTTTTTGTATCCCTTTTCTACTGGCAATTATTGAAAAGAAAACTTTTGGCTATAATATGCTTTGACCATTATACATTAGATTTATCTTCTGACCTGTATTAGTCTAGACATCCAATTTCAGTTATTTTTTTTGTAGATAAATTATTAAATTAGTGAGCCTATTTTATTACGACTTTCATTTTACATTTTGTTTGTTTTGTTGCTAGTTTCCTCATTTTTATTTAAAGCTCTCAGGGAATTTTTGTTGTGTGTATCTTTTTTGATGATCAGTCTTTACGGTTACTAATAAAATGTCAAGCAACTGATTAGCTTTCTTCCATTTGACCTAAGCATCCCTATATAAAAAGTGCAACAGTTGATGTCCCATCTTTCACATTATGATTGTATCTATAGAATCACAATTGATGATACTGTACAAACACTGCAAATCTCATAATGAGGCATTGTGAGTGGAGTTGATTTTGATCATGAGAAATAAACCTGCTGTCACAAGAGTTGAACTTAGAACCCTGGGATTGAAAGACAAGCATCTTAATCACCAAGTAATTCAATTCCATTTCAATATGAATAATAATAAATACAAACTAATATATTTAATAATTAGTATATTATACTATAATACAGAAGTCTCCATAAGCTTGAGTAATATTGCCTATAATTAAACTTGACAAATCCACCATTTATATGATAGAAAAAAATTGGTGATCATTTAACTATCCAGTCATTTTCTAGGCCCCTGTGTGTCATGAGAACGGTTTCACAAGGGATCAAACCCATTAACAAGGTAGGGTGACTCACACCCCATAAAGATCTATTACCCTATGCCTAAAGAACAAAATATAGCTGATGATATATACCCACTAATTGACTCATCTTTCATCTCGTCTGTATCTGTTGACCTAGGATTACTTTTTATCCATGATGGAGCAGTTTTTGATATTATATTTAATTCTATGGTTAGCGTAAACAACAGATTAGGTGTAGCCAAGGAAAAAAAGGATATAGTAGAAACATAAAAAAAAGTAGAAAACATAATTTCTCAACGCATTGGTGTTATTCGTAGATTAAGATATTTTTTACCTAATTCTTCTCTTAGAATTTTAGCAAATTCTTTTGTATTACCTTTTTTCAAATATTGTAGTACTGTATGGTCCAATTGCACAGCTGCACACCTTAACTCACTTCAAGTTTTACTAAATAGACTAGCCAGAATTATTTTGCATGCTGGTATTAGAACACCTGTTAATGACCTTATGGAATCAAATTAATTGATACTTACCATAGCATAAATACAAGAAATAAATTGAAAAACACTTTAGTCTTGAATTTTTCTTTTAATTTTATTTTGTTATATAATGTAGTTTAAGATAATACCTGGACCTCAGGGAAGAACAGTGTAACAATACTGACTGAGTATCCAGAATAAAGAAAGATTTCTATTCTATTCTATTCTATTCTAAGGACACAGTGGGAAACAAAGCTATAAGCAAGTGAAGTTTACATTAGAAATTTGCAGCTCTCAGCACTATATATAATTATTCATTAATTAAATTCATCATAAAATTAATGTGCAGTTTAACATTTGATCTGCTATCATCAGAAAGCTTTAAGGAATGGATCCCAGTAAGAGAAGAACCAATAAGATCACTTCGAAAGGTTAATCGGTATTTTGTACCACGCTGTCGAACAAAAAGATTTGCCAAGTCAACTATTCCAAGTGTTATTGGACTGTTAAATAAAGATTAATTTGGATAATTGGCAATGTACTTCCTGAATTGAACTGGTTTTATTTTGTTTATTGAATTTTTAATGTGTAATGTAATTGTTCGAATAGGGCTATGACTGTTAACTGTTTTTAATGAAATTTGTATATATTAATAACTTAAAATTCTAATTAATTGATTTAATTAATCAATTTATGCTGATTGATATTTTAATATTAATTGTAAATAATAAATAATTAAATTTTTTTTGTAATTTGAAATTTTTCTCAAATGTTTATTGCTGGTTTTATATTTCTGTATTTTTCTTCATTGATTTTATGTAAGCTCTTCATTTCAATCTTGAATTGTATTTTGAGTCTTTTTATACCTGAATAAATAAATAAATTTGAACACATCCTGATCATAAATAGAACATTTTAGTATTGGATAGTGTGTTTGTAGACCTGCATACAGTTTCAGTTTGCAAATTGTTAATTATACTGTATGTACAAAAACCTGAGTCTGTGCCCTGTTAAGGATAATAAATAGAGGAATTAAAACAAAAATTAAATAATTGCCATAGAAATGTAGATCTTTAAGGCCACCTACAGTTGGTTCTGAAAGCAGAGTTTATCTCATATTATGAAACTTGCTCCTCTGTGCTCATTATGTTATCAATTGATTCAAGTCAAAGCTTTTTTTTGAGTCAAATTTATTTTCAAGGATATTGTGTATTAAAATATTTGGCTGTATTGCATCAGACAGAAGACTTTTAAGTAGGAAGTTAATCTATAGTTTGGTAGGCATAAAGCATCGGAAGCACATGCTTTTTACTGGCCACTTAACTTTATCATGCTTCGCATAACTTAAAAGTAACCTGTACTGTAC